GGCTTGTTCCAGGCACTGCCTGGAATGGGATGAAAACAGGGATGCGCGGAGGCCAAAAAATGGGGTATGCAGAGGCAGCACCGATCCCCGCAGCCTGGAACAGCTAATTGGCGGTATTCTGGGAGGCCGATCCAACCGCAAATCAGCTGCTCGTGCTAAATCAGGCTGATGCTGAAGCTGAGCAGGCTGTTTGCTGCAAGGAGGCAAATTGCTGGGAGACAGAAGCAGACTTTTTTTTTTTTGCTTGTTTTTTCCCCCTCCCAAAGCTAGGTGCGTCTTATGGTCTGGAGCGTCTCATAGTGAAAAATATACGTCTCTGCAAGACAAAACATTATTTTCCAATCTAAACTCCTGCTGAGCCATTTCCAAATACTGAAAACCTTTTAACCTTGCCCTTCTGATGAAATTGCCACATCATCAGAGACATTTCCCTCATTCCTCCCAGAAGCTGTTAAAAAAGCAACCACCACCAAAAAAGGAAAAACCCCTAAAGCCTCTAATGTTTTCCCACTGCTGTTATATGAGCAGAATGAAGTACTAGATACAATTAAGGTAAATGATGTATTAGAAAAAACACTTAGAGCTGTGCATAACAATGGATTAAAAAAATTCCTGTAGCTTCCATGCTAGCAACTTTTTCCAGTAGTAACCACAACACATCTAGATAGCTCCAGTAATTTCTGGAACTGATTTGGAATAAGTTGCTTAATTGGACTCCACTCAGACAGGTGCTGAATCTCATACCCATTTCATACCCATTCCAATCAAATGAGAAACTCCAATTCCTACAATCTTAGTGCTCACAAAGCAATACCTCCTCTTCTCACTTTATCAGTAGGATAAAGCTTAAGAATGAGTGATGAGAATAATTTGCAATGATGTGTCCAATTCAAATTTGCTACTGAAACCAAGCAAATTATTCTAGGTTGAAATTTTGATCATAACTGGAATTCAGTTGTCCTAAAGATGCTTTTTCAAGAACTCTGAAGAAGCTTCTTGGATGAGAAGCAAAATGTCTTCAAAGAAAAACCAGAAAGTCCAGTTGCCTCTTAAGACAACCATAACTTGGATGACTAGGAATCTCCATGGAATTCCGTTGGTTGTTTACCTAGGAAAGTTGTGGTCCACAACATCCTCAAATCTGACCACATTATTGTGGAGGCAAATCACTGGTCCTACCACAATACTGAACTTCTTAACTATGTCATTAACCCAGGTTCTGATTCAAAGAAGAAAGAATGGCCCATAGAAACCACCTGACATTTATCCTACATGGACCAGATTCTCCAGTCAGATTGATTTACAACCACAATTGGGGCCAATTCTTCTGTCCTTAAGCAATGCAATCATGAAGTGAGATGTGCCCAATTTAATGTTCTTTTTTGCATAATCATTAAGCAAACCACCACAGCTGTTAAGCAAATCCAGCAGCTTCTCTTGACTTTGTCAGAAGCCCCAGGGAAGACCTGTAAATGGCAATCATATCATCATGGGACACTGCAACCTTCGTAAATATATGCAGGTTGCCAAACAGCCAAATTTTGACCAAAGGAACACTGTAACAGTAATATGTGTGAAGACCCTGTTGTAACATTGAGTGTTCATCAAATAAATGGAAATAAGTTGAGGATTACCTGCAGTTGACAATTCTCACCAATTATGGAAGTCTGATTCATCAGAGCAGAAATCCAAAAAGTGCTTTTTCAAGAGGCAACTGGACTTTCTGGTTTTTCTTTGAAGACATTTCTCTTCTCATCCAAGAAGCTTATTTTTGGATGAGAAGCGAAACGTCTTCAAGGAAAAACCAGAAAGTCCTGTTGCCTCTTCAAAAAGCACTTTTGGGGCAACCATGACCTGAATGACTCAGAATCTCCATAGACAGAGGCACAAATGATGATGCAGAAGAACTTGATTTTAATGATTGTTAACACTATTAAGTGCAGCAGCTCTTTAATAATGTTTTAACCTGAACTCCATATGGGATTTTCCAAGCAGCTCATTTATCAATTCACCTTACTGGCTTTTCTCTTCCCACACTGGAATCAGATCCTCTTTTCACTAAAGAGTTTTACTTTGCTGACTATACCACTCCCTTCGTACCTGGACAAAAACCCTACCTGCCTGAGATCTTTGCTTGATGCAGAATAAAGCATCAAGACTTCTGCTAGTATTTCTCCAAAGCCTTTTTTAAGATCATTCCTATTTTACCAATATGGAACGGGGGATGGGGCAATTGCTTTTCGGACCTGTGGCAAGTTGTGGAGAAGGAAAGAAATGGTTGGCCCTTCTTGCATTTTTTCTTGCCATCCTCTGAATGTGTCTGCAAGATTGAAACTATTTCCTGTTCTCTGGCAATCATAGGGCTTGGAAGAGATATGGGGATATTTATTCCCTTGAAGATAAAGTGATATGATACCAACTGAGAAAAAGAGAGCAGCTTGGTTGATGAATCAGCCTATTCAGTGATGGCAAGTTAGGCAGAAATGATTTGTATGAATGAGAGTAAATATATATGTCCCAGGATAATGTGGCAGGATCCAGTCTGGGTTGATCACCTGGACCAGAAGTTTAGTCTTCTGAGCTTTTGCATGCATGCTGGAGTCCATCCTCAGGGAACTTCTCTCTCACTGAAATATTTCACAAATTCTGGTGACAGAGAAGTTCCCTGAGGATGGGGTTCAGCATGAGTCTGAAACCCCAGAAGACTAAACTTCTGGTTCCGGTAGGATGATCTAAACATCTTACCATTCTGTATTTCAACTCTGCTATTGGATACAATTCAAAATCCGCAGTTATGGGGTGGATGAAAACATCTGCAAGTTCTGTAAATTATGCAGATTCCAAACATTGGAACAGTTTCATATTCTTTCACTGAATAAGGAGTTAAATGAAACAGGAACATGATACGTGTGGTGACTGCCATTTTTAGTAGTTGGCAGGTTTGTACTTTTTGTGCCTATCAGATATATCTGACATTGGACGTTGTAGAATTTTATTTCAAGCCTTACTTGGCAATAAAATGAGTCTGACTTGCAGGGACATTGCCTGAAAACTTAATGTAGCTGTTGGAGAAATGAAAGCAAAGAGAGCAGAGAATACAGAAAGAGAGATAACAATGCACAAAGGCAATGCATAATTTATAAAACAGGCCATCTGAAGCAGAAACTTTTTTTTGCTATCCTTTTGTGAGTATTTCATTGCCCATCTATGATGTGTGCGAGTATTATTAAAATTGGAAAAAGTATTAAAGGAAAAAAGAGCCCCTGGTTTGTTTTTAAGAAAAAGAAGGGTCTTCTTTTGATGGTGGTGAAGTATTAATACTGCTAGAGAAAATTAGAAATCTGGGCTGAAAAGAGGCTTAGGAAAGTATAAAGTTTTAGGAAAGTATAAAGTTTCTAAAAGGAAAAAGGTTATGGAGCTGGTGTTATGGAAGTCCTCTCTTTGAATACTTTTAAGGCTAGTATTGTATTTTTATGCAGATGTTTTTTGAATTTCTATATTTGTGCAATAAAGTATGTTATATAACGATGGCATGTACGTATATATGTTATATAACTAAGTGCATGACCACGGTGATAACAATGAGCTCTTGTCCCTTGAAAAAAGTGTCCAATTATGAAAACAAGAGACAGGTTAGACTTATCAAAAGAACACAGCTGATTTCTTTAATACAACGGGGGTTTGTTTGGAAATCATAGCTAGATACTTTTAGAGCAGCTCAGCATTGAATCAGCACTTGGATGTAAACAAAAACAACCTTCAGGGTTACATTTCAAAAATACTTGCATTAGTATAATTAGATACTGCAAATTATAACAGCTGGTTTAGAAAAATTTTAAAAAATGAAAATTAGTAAAAGCAGAAGGAACCATTTTATCAAGTCACAGAACCAATTATGATACTGAAATTTTGGTTTACTGCAATTAAAATAATAGCCTATCAAAATGTAAAACTGAGTGAAGAACAGTCCTCTATAAAAGGCTTATAATGACTTTTATCTCAGCAAATATTTAAAGTGTTACTTAATTGGACCTAGTTTACTGAATCTCTAATGCCATATGTTGCTATTAATGGAGAACTATAATTTTGTCTATTCTTTTGTTCTTCCTTGCAGTATTAATATTTATAAATATATTTATATACAAGTATTATTTGCATTCTTAATTGCTTGGCTATAATCCAAATCACCATAACAGCCACTGGAATAATCATATAAGAAAAGAAAATACTAGAGGGTTATATGCAGCCTTTTTGAAGTTTTGTTGTTGTTAAGGAACAGTATCAAAGAATACAATCATTTTTGCTGGAGTATCTAGTGATTAACCCTAATTTTTGCCTCAAGTAATCATACTGTACTAATTGGACAAATTACTTGCAGCCTCAGATGATCTAATGTTATAAATTAACACAATAATTTAATATACACCATCATAAGTGAATTATTTAGTAAAAATTAGAAACAATTAGTCAAATCTTTATCACCAATTTCCAAACTTGACTCATGGCAATAGACTAATAGACGTCCTTGAGACAAGCTTGAGTTCTAATTACTATATCCATGTAGTTCTCTTGGCAGGATCCATTTGCTGTCTTCAGGGAGGGTTTGTTTTTGTTTTAGTTTCCAAATCTAAATCCATTGCTCTAGAATTTTCATCCAAGCACTAACCAGGGTCAATCTTTATTAACTTCCAAGATTAGTGAAGGTCTATAAAGATCTTACTTAGGAGGAAGACTACCAGAGAATATCAGGCAGTTGATTAGACTGAGAAAATGAAATATGTCTTGGAAACAGGCAACCTTTGTGTGCACATGCTATGTAGTCCCCAGAACTTACTTAAGTTATTTACTTAGATTTATATGCCACACTAATCCAAAAGGACTCTGAGTGGTTTACATTCCTCTTTTACAATAAGAAGGCTAAAAATCAGAGTAAACAAATGAAGCCATTTACATTTGGAACTGAAATTGTAGCTATGGACCAAGCACCAAACAAAACTCTTTAGCCTTCCATACTATGTTCCCATATAACACTTTGCCCAGTTCCCAATTTCTATAGATCAAATCTGTTTCAAAATCTCTAGTCTCTAAAATAGTATATGTGCTGGCAAATATATTTAATTGTGGCAGCAGCAGGGCTCAGAGAAACTGGGAAACTCATAAGCACCCTGATTATTATTTTGTTAAAACTCTTGGGCATAACCTGCTGCCAAAGATATTCCAAGGCCTGACACCATCTGGCAGAAGGTCACCCCAGCCATTTTTGCAAATGTCTCTTGCCCTCTGGCTGCTACAAATCTGTTGACAAGCACTTTGGTAGTTCCTGGAATGTCTTCATCTAAGCTGGGTGGCCCATGCACTGCTGTTAACTCAGGCTGCTTCTCATGTTGCCCAATCTTTGAAAACATCTCATGGACATCTAACACCACCATCCATTCAGTCCAAGGCTTCAAGCACTTTCCACACGTCATGTGGCCCAGATCTCAATCAATCTTCTCCTCTTTTCTCTCTTTTCTTCTTCTGCCATCCAATATACACCAAGCCCTCAAAAATCCCTACCTCATAGTTCCTTCATTTCCTGTTGCATCCAATCTGTTCCAGTAACTTTTACTGCACATTCATTTCCCTTTCAATAATTTTCACTATTCTGTTTTGTCTAGCTTCCCCTTCCAACGCTCCGTACTATTGAGCTCAAAGAATATTTTCCTTTTAGATACCCACAATATTTCAGAAATCTTTGTATTACTAAGAAATATTGGATATCCTTTAAGCTGAAGTTATGTATAATGGAAAGCATAGCTTGCATTCACATAAGCACCCTGATTATTATTTTGTTTTTCATCTTCTCTTCTAGGATGGTGTAAAGTTTGAAGAAAAGGACATGGATGGGAGAGAGACATAGGTTCGATTTATATGACTCCTTGACCACTTTCACTCTCAGCCAACCTATTTCACAGGCTATCATTGTGGGGATAATATGTGGAGAAAACCTATGGAAAACTCCTTAAGCTCTTATAGGAATGAAGGGAATACCAATAAAATATTTATTACTGGCTGTACATTCATACCAATAGTTACTTCAAAAGCAAGCAAAACAGGAAGGCACTCCTGCATCAAATAAGTCCTTGAAGTAACAACCGTTGGTTTAGTGACCATTCTTATCACTTATATCTTTTATGTACACTGACAGCTTATGCAATGAAGGCAAATTCCTTGTGTGTCCAATCAACTTGGCCAATAAAGAATTCTGTTCTGTTCTGTTCTGTTCTGTTCTGTTCCGTTCCGTTCCATACCATTTCTATTTCTATTTCTATTTCTATTTCTATTTCTATTATCTGATAACATTACACAAAAGCGTTCAAATGATATTCCCAGGACCCCTAGAGCTGTCAGGCCATCTTCAGGGACCATAATGAAGAAAACCCCTCCCTGACTCTTATTTAGTTCATTTCTATAGCCACCCATCTCACCCATTTCTATAGTTCCCCCATCTGGGAGGTAAAAATTCTAAAATTTGGAATATCAAATTAGAATTCTTACTGCAAATGGGGAACATGCTATTGCCCATAATTCATGGCTCCACTGGCCTTAGAAAAACACACAAGCTTGTAAAGTTCAGAACAAAACAAACAAACAAACACCAGTGGAACTTTTGACCTTTCATTAAACACACTTGCTAGGGATGAACACGGGGCAATGTCCTTTCTCTGTTATTCTGAGATATATATGCAACCAATAGCTAAGTTCTTAAAGTTCCCTGCATGACTCAACTATTCCCAAGAAGACAAATTAAAATAGAAAAAGCCTTCTGGAGGGTCAGAAGCTAGAAATTGTTTGTCCCATTATTTTATAGGAAGACAATGTGGTGAAGGGAAAACAGCAGCTTCCTTGTAAGTAAGCCACAATTCCTGACTGTAAGTCTCTGCAGATTCAGGGATAGCTACATGTAAAGGCTTCTCTGTAAAAAGGGCATATGTGTGGGCTGGAGAAAAAGGTAGAAGAAACAACAGATACCAGCAAACAACAACAATAACCACAAGAAGCCTGTGGAGGAAGCACCAGCTGGAATTATTGCTATCAAGACCTATATAAACAGACTGGCCTACCTTTCTATGCTATCTGGCTGAGATTCAGTTTATTTCACAGGCACAGAATAGAACTAATCCCTCATACTGGAAAACATTATTTAAGAGGAAGGAGCCAGATGGGCTTTTTCAAACTTTTGAGTCTAGAGGAACTCTTGAAATATTTTTGGCCTCAAGGAACCCCTGCACCTTCAAATATAGGCCCAAAATTACAAAATTATTTAGTTTTTACATTTGTGATTCGTCCATCTCTCTCAAATTGGGAGGTGTGAAATAATGTTAAAATTTGAAACAGGGCCTATAAATGTTAAAAAATTAGGAGAGGCAAGAGTAATTGAATATTTTTTAAATTATTTAAAAGGTGAGGGGTGGGCTGTTTAAACAGCCCCTTGGCTGCATGCTCCTTTGGGCTCCCCACATGAGGCTATGGAGCCATGTTTTAACTTCTTTTCAGAAGGCCAGGACAGTGGAAACTTTCAAGAAGATATTGGACTGCCATCTGTCAGAAATGGTATAGGGTTTCCTGTTTGAGCAGGGAGTTGGACTAGATTACCTACAAGGTCGCTTCCAACTATTCTGTTCTGTTCTGTTCTGTTCTGTTCTGTTCTGTTCTATTCTATTCTACTCTACTTCCATGTGTAGACTAATGCATACACACAAACACAATTAACAGAGTTCTTAAAAATAAATAACTTTTTTCTTACCCTCACTTCCTTACACCCTTCCCCTGGCCTTTGTTGTGGCTCCAGCCACCATTGGTGCCCAAGCCAGGCAAACCCTGTGCACACATTGGACATGAAGTGTCTCCTGTGCATACATTGGACATGAAACCCCTAAGCTGCTGCGCCTGCAGAAAGGCTGGCATACACCGTTAAGGAGAGCTCCAGCATGGAGGCCCTGTGATGTCTTTCTTCCATGCAGTCTCTCACTCCCTGTTACTCATCTCTCCTTCCCTCCTCCTTTATTCCTTAGCTCATGCACATTCCAGAGAGCCTTCAGAGGGTGGAGGGTTTTTGTTTGGTTTCTACTTTTTTCAAAAATAAGTTGTCTTCTTCCAGTAAACCTCTATGACCTCTCACTGAACTCCAGGGTTCACTGAAACCCTAGTTGAGAAATCTTGAGCCAAAGACTTCCAAAGAAGCAAATGCTTTTATGACAAGAGTTGAATGTCCACTGAGTCTGTTGGTGTGTGAGTATAACAAGCTTCAAACTGCTGCATTTTCTTTTTGGCATGATTTCTTTCTTTTTTTAAAAAATGAATTTACTTTTGAGTTGGTGGTTAGAATTGCTGACACTCTAAGAGTCTGCCTTGTTTTCAAACCCAACATTGAATTCTTAAGATCTCAGGAGAATAAACTATAGCTCTACATTTTTGCAGAGTCTACTGTTTGTTTTCTTTCACTAATAAGACAGATCCACACTTCCTTCTCTACAAGGGACTTCCAATGACAAGGGACTGCCATTGAAATTTAATTAGAAGACAGCAAAAAATAATGAAGTTACCACTTTTCTTTATTAACAATCTGTTCTGATCACTAACTATCCACACTGATTGGCTTTGGAGTATTGCTTATCTACCCATACAAGTTTTACATATTAAATAATTCTTAACAATTCAATGTATCTTTTCAAAGAGTACAGTTATGTACCACCTTAGTGAAGAAAGCTCATCATAAACACTTAGAAATCATTATGAAGATATTATACAGGAAAAAGACAAATGTAACTTACCAGGTCCATTTAAGTATTGTGTAAGTGAACAGTGCAAACGCACAATTATAGGCTCTGTGCGGATTACATCCCAGGCCACTGCAATCTCTTCCTGAATGAAGACACAACAAAACCTGTTAGCCATTATCGGCAAATTTACACTGGACTTTTTTTAAAAAAAAAAATTCACAGCTGGCAAAGGAATTGAAGGTCTCCACCTAAGTTCTTTTCTAAACTGACTGGCCAAGACAAATGTTGTATCAGCTACTATCTAATATACAAAAGGTCAGTAGTAGAACTAAAATGGGTCTTGAATGTGAACTAGCTCTATAAGTGGAAAGAAATGCCAAATTTGCATAGTTGTAACAGCATCTAAACTTTGTTCTGGAAGATTTGGTTCTCTCAGCTTCCAGAAATGAAACCAAACTCAACAACCATCTTTTACACTTGGGAAGAGATAATCTTTACAGAAAAAAACCACATGTTTGTGACAGTATAAATCACTGTAAACTGGGAATGTGCAACTTTTCTGAATCAGTAGTAACTTAATATTTGGGAGATAATAGAAGAACATCCAACCACACTTAGGGATTTCATTTTCCTCTGGGAAAAGAATTTTTTAAATGTTATGTTTGGTCTATCTGAAGGAATTAATATAGTTTGTGTATACTTTCCACCTGGCTAATTGAGAATACAGGTTTCCTACCACAGATCTTTAGTCATCACCTTCAGAGGTGGGTCTGAGGGCCACAAAATATGGGGTCAGGGACTGCACTAGAGATTGGCCATCTGTGATGTAAGCAGCTGAGGAGATCAGTGATCTAATTTAGATAATACAACTTCCATCAGGAATGGTTGAATCAGTACAAATCCAATCTGTTTTGAAGTCCATATTTTCATTTGCATGGTTCTGACCTAGGCTTCCCCAAAAAGCACGAACCCTTTGTTTTATTAAACAAAGTTGAATTTCTTGCATTCACATTCAGCCAAAGGCCTGGTAAACAGTCTTTCAAGGGTATAACTCAAGGTTAACCACACTAAATTTGATTGCAGGAAATACGACTTCAGCAATAAAGTGGTCAATGTCTGGAATACTCTACCCGACTCTGTAGTTTCTTCCCCAAACCCCAAAAACTTTAACCTTAGACTGTCTACTATTGACCTCACCCCTTTCCTAAGAGGTCTGTAGGGGGTGTGCATAAGCGCACCAACGTGCCTACTGTCCCTGTCCTATTGTTTCTTTTATTTTTCTTATATGTATCCATTTCATGTATTCATAACTATGTATATACTTATACCTATTATCTTGTAAGCGATTGACAAATCAAATCAAATAAAAATAAAAATAAATAAATATAATTAGGAGTACAGACCTTATCTAGCTTGGATAGCTGCCAAGTAAATATTTTCAAAGACAGTGCTGACAAGGAAGGACTCAGCACAGAGTCTCAGATGCACAGACAGGTCTTCACACTGTTGCATCTCTAGGGAGATGCACTGTTAATCTCTAGGGAGGGGCCATTCACCATCCACCTGAGGCTTTACTCCCATGTCGACTCTTAGTTCGTAATTGTTCTTTTTTTTTTTGGCAGCTCTGCACATGTGCAGGTTGGGAACTGGCTCCAGCTGCTCCCCCACCTCACTGCTGTCCGACTCCGAAGGCAGCTGGCCACTGCCAGACTACCCTAGCCCCATCTCTGCCTCTGACGCAGAGCCCTCATCCAAGCTTTCCTCAGCCTCCAGGACTGGCCCATGTTCCTTCCCAACCTCCTCACTGTCCGACTCAGTTGCCAGCTCTGCTAGCCGCCAGCAGGCCACAACATGCATAAGGAGCTTTTGTACAAATTTTTGCCTAATGTAGCATTCTTAAAATCAATTCTCTACTATATTTTCTTAACAAGGATAATGCAAAACTCTTATTCTTAACCACATACATTTTCCAAGCACGTTTTTTCTTCTCAAGAACACAACTATCCTGTTTTTGTATAGAAATTTCAGAAACCTTCAGGGATGTGTTCTTTTTCAGACATAACTGGGATAATGTTTTTATCCAATGAAATTAGCTCATTGTAATTCCAGGTGTGTCACATAGGGCTTAGTTTAGCCAGATCTCACAAATGTTATTCCAAAGAAATCTAGGGCAGATTGCTTTTATAGGCATTTACCTTTGGAAATCATTCTGCAAATATTTACACTGAAAATAGAAACACATTCCCCCACATTCAAGAAAGGTTTATGAATTTTAAAAAAGAAGTGCTATCTGCCTGTGAACAATTGACTTCATATCCTACTGAAAAACAGAGACAGCTGCTTTTCAAACTTCATTATACAACCTTGTTATTAGATTACTTACATCAAGAAAGCTAACATCAATATGCAGATCAATATCTACATCATCAATGGCTCCATATTCCCTGAAAGGAAAGAACATTACATTATATCTAAGTCTGATATTTTTGATCATACTTCTCAAGCTAACTGACTATGAAGAGCAGTTTAAACAGAAAAAGTGTGCTCTTATAGTGAAAGGGTTTTCGTTTGCCAATGGATTAGGATAAATAATTCTTTAGTGATAGAATGAATGTTCTATTTGCTGCAACTCCCCTATTCATAGTTCAGCAAAACCATGAAGACTGCCTGCTAGTGAAAATAGATATAATTTGACTGGACGAAAAAATTGTCAACACTAAAGTGCACAAAGAATGAATGTGCTAATAGAATAAGCATCTCTTCCAATAAAGAAGCTTTGAAAAAATATAGCCAATGAATAATATTTGCAAGTCCCATCCCCGAGGGAGATACACCTAGTGGGACCCAAAAGAAGGGCCTTTTCTGTGGTGGCTCCCTCTCTCTGGAACATCATTCCCCCAGAGATTTGAATGGCCCCCACTCTAGCATTCTTCTCAAAGGCACTGAAGACCTGGTTCTGCCAGAAGGCCCGAGGGACCCAGAGCAGGATGGAGCCCATCAAATGGCTCATGTGATCTGCTGTCGTCGGGGCGGAGGGTGAGAATTGGGGGGGGGGGGTGATTTATTTATTTATTCCAGATTTTGTTTTATTGTACTTTATTAATTTGATACTTTTTGTTAGTTTTATTGTTTTTTTTTATTTTAAATATGGTTTAAATATGGTTTTCTGTAAAACCATATTTACTTTCTCGAGTTGCCATGGGCGAATAGGCGGCAATATAAATTCAATAAATAAATAAAATAATAAATAAATTTGGAAATGTGATTTCACTGAATTCAATATTTGCTTAATAATAAAAGGATATATGCCTACGGAATATTTGTAGCTCAGGGTTGAATGTAGGGTCCTTCATGCTGTGTGAGCTTATTAGTTTTTTTGCAGACATTTCATTCCTAAACTAGGTAATATCACTGCACTGATGATGTTATGTAGTTTGGTAGTGAAAGGTTAATAATAAACATCAAGCGAACATAACTATTTTTTTAAGCTCATCAATTATAAATATTGTTTAAGCTCATCTGAAGAATCAATACTATATTCCCACAGACTTCATATACTGCATAAGAAAACTAGAATTTATCTTCTAGAATGAATCTGGGTGAAACCAAGAGTTTTGTTATTTCTTCAAAAGAAAGAAATATTAAGTGTTCTAACTTCTTTGACAACAATTTTACCTATCATTTTCCAAGGTAAAGGTATTCTCCTATGGATGCTGTCCAGTATTCGACAATTGCTATAAAAGCTATCTTTTATATGTAAGAAAAAGCTCAAGCTCTGGATAAAAATCCATATAACAGTTGTAATTAGGCTGCAAATTTCTTAAGCTGTTAAATTCATTTAGAATCACAATGTTCAGCAAACACGTTCTCTTTTCATCTACAACTTATGAAAGAGACACTGCTTTTGACATTTCATTTCAAGAAGGAAGGAACTTTGGTAAAAATTTCATGGATGGTCTTCTTGCACTTATTCTAGTTAAAAGGCCAAATTGTGTGTGTGTGTGTTTTTGTGCAAGGGGGGGAGACAGTTTAAGTGTCCAATTCATCTCTGTGCAATCAGCCCTCTGGAAAGCTGCAGCCTTCCTGGATTCCTCATGTTCACTCATAGCCAAGAGAAGACACCATAAGCAGAGTCCCCTCCAATTTGTGTGTGTGTGTGTGTGGGGGGGAGTGGATTTATGATGTGTTGATAGATAGGCAATATTCAGAAAAGAACACCAGCAGCAGTTGCCTCTGCTATCATTTCTAAAAACAACAACAACCCCAAACAACATCACCAAGAGAATTTTAAAAGACATTCTCCCGCAAATTAGGTAGAAAAGCAGACACCTCCATAAAATTTTTAAAAGTTGCAGGGCAGTTTTTGGCACAGTATTAATTTTTGAATCTTCTTACGTGTGTTACAGGAGTTTCCAAAACACGCCAATCAAAAACTGGCTCACCTATTCCCAAATATCAGCCCGTTACAAAATATTCATAAACCAAAACTGTTTAAGTAGAGAGCATACACTACCAATTCCTCCCCAGAATTTTCCTTATTAGCCTAGATTACTTTGGTTTTCTAAACATACTTCCAAATCAATCTCTGTCAAAGAAGACTTGTAAAGCCCATGAGTCATTCTTGTAAATACAGGTAGTCTTTGACTTAGGACCACATTTGATCCCAAAATTTATGTTGCTAAATGAAACATTTGTTAAGTAAGTTTTATGACCTTTCTTGCCACAATTGTTAAGTGAATCATTGCAGCTGTTAAGTTAGTAACACAATTGTTTAAAGTGAATCTGGCTTCCCCATTGATTTTGCTTGTCAGAAGATCGTAAGAGGTGATCATATGACCCCAGGACACTGGAACCATCAAAAATATGAACCGGTTGCCAAGCTTCTGAATTTTGATCACATCCAATGGGGATGCTACAACATGCATACATGTGAAAACTAATAAGTCACTTTTTTCAGTGCCGTTGTAACAGTCACTAAATGAACTGTTGTAAATCAAGGACTACCTGTACAGATGTTGCTAGAAACTGGCCTTTTGTTTTGGAACATTTCAGCTTCTCATTTGTTTCTTGCAATAATAGAAGTGCAGAGAGTCTGAGAAGCCTCAAGAAAAAGCAGTTCCTTGCCCATCTCTTGTCTAAATAGAAATATCTTTATGTTACAGGGCTATGTCATGGCAGCTTGAAAAAGCACTGCATGTTATTGATGGATGAGTTGGAATGGAAAGTGGAAACGAGGCCTCCTATGAAGGTGACCCTGGTTTAATTTACAGTGATGTCCCAGTTGCCAGATTAGGTTATGGAAGTTGGAGACTAGCCATAAAGCTGAGAATAAAAATCAATCAGTATTCAAGGGAGCATTTTTTTGACCACCAAGGAAGTTAAAACACATTCAACAGTTTGCACACAAGAGATGGGTTCTTTTTAAAAAAAAAGAAAGAAAGTGATGCTTCCTCATTTATTTGTTCCAAGCCAGAAGCAGTCAGCTTCTTAATGAATTGAGTCTCAAAAGACACTAAAGCAGGTACTGAAGAAATTAAGCATGGTGTTTTTTTTAAAAAAAATAAAAAGTTAAATTTACTTTCGTAACTGCAAACCCAATGGGAGCTTATTATGAAGCTATGTACAGTTTTTCAACCATAGCAGTTATCAGGATATGCAATTAAATGATTATCTTACTCATTTCCTCCTTGGACTTTAATCTCAAACATTCTGTATACTCAATGAATTTCCACTTAATTCAAACAGCATGTAATGAAAATATTTTTCCCCTGTCCATATTGTCTAAGGAGCTGGAATGTACACTCGCAATTCAATTTGCACGTCACTGAGCAAATGAAACAAATGAATGTTAAGGTAACTTTTGGTCCATTGAGGATCTGGATAACTGGAGTGAGTACCAATGAAATAGTCTTGGAAGGTTATGCTCAAAAACGGACAAATCATTCAGATTAGGAGAAAGACGAAGGCCATAATCTGCAATGATGTTATACAGTATGTATCTGGAATTCTGATGAGGACTACTCCATTGTAAGGTACACTATAAACCTGATCCATAAAGATTAAGTGCCATATAAAGCAACTGGAAGAAGTAGGGTGGGCATTATTCAAGGGAGTTTTTGCAATTACAGTGACCATTTTTCCCCTTGGCAGTGATTTATTTTGGTTGATTCATGTGGAATACAAGTGTGCAATTATGTTTATGAATAAATGAATGTACTGTATTATCAAAACTCTGGGACAGCCTTTACATGAGAGTTACCAATTGCTGCAATCATGTGAAATAAACACTTGGATAAAGAAGAAAGCCAGTTATATATAAGTCTATTGACTTATACCATGTTTCTCACAAAATAAGTCCGGGCCTTATTTATTTTTTTTGAGCCCCGAAAAAACGGCTAGGACGTCTTTTCGGGGGTGAATTAATTTCTCCCCCCCCCTGCGCACCAGCGCCGTCTCCAACAACAGTGTCTGAGTCGCTCTCACTTTCCCCCGTCCCTGTAACAACAGGAAAAAAAAGATTTTGAGGTACCTGGGAGCGCCGCGCGCTGCATTTTGGTTTAATCCCGAGCGGCTGGTTGGGCGTGAGAAGAGCCGAGCGAGTGTCTCTGCTGCTGCTACCCTTGGTGCTCCAGCCTCGGGCTCTGCAAGTTTGCAAAAGTCCCGGTGCGCAGCCTGTTCCTGCATTCCAAGCGCCCAGGCCGAGCTGCAGCTGTCCCTCTCTTGCCAGCGCCATTTCCAATAACAGCGGCAGCAGCGGCGGGAACCGTGGAAGTTACGGAGGTGGCTCCCCCACCCGAGAAGCTGCTAAAACGCTTCCACAGTTCCCGCTGCTACTGCCGCTGTTATTGGAGATGGCGCTGGCGAGAGAGGGGCAGCTGCAGCTCGGCCTGGGCGCTTGGAATGCAGGAACAGGCTGTGCACCGGGACTTTTGCAAGCTTGCAGAGCCCGAGGCTGGAGCACCAAGGGTAGCAGCAGCAGAGACACTCGCTCGGCTCTTCTCACGCCCACCCAGCCGCTCAGGATTAAACCAAAACACAGCGCGCAGCACTCCCAGGTACCTCAAAATCTTTTTTTTTTCCTGTTGTTACAGGGACAGGGGAAAAGCGGGAGCGACTCAGACGCTGTTGTTGGAGACAGCGCTGGTGAGAAAGGCGCCAGCACCGGTGGGAACCATGGAAGCTACAGAGGCCTGAGAAGCAGCTGAAACGCTGCCGGACATCCACGCCGATGCCGCCCACCTGCTGACCCAGGTAAGGGAGGGGTAAGGGAGCCCTCCGTGCTCCACCATGGTGTTAGGAGCGGCTGATGGTGAGGCGTAGCTGTCCAAGGGGCACTCCTAATGGCAAGTTCCCCCCCGTCTTCCCCCCCAATTTCACATGTTTTAAACTAGGCCTAAATTTGGGGGGAGGGGCTTAATTTCATTTTATGCCTAGAAAACATGCTGGGTCTTCCTATGGGGGGGGCGTATTGTTGGAGAAACACGGTATATAGGTCTATTGACTTGTCTATTGACAGTATGCTGAAGATGTTAGGCAGGAACTGAAACTGTGGGTGCAATCCTAGCCACGCATTTTGCAGGGAGGGAAAATAAAGGTCATTTTTAGACTCTATATTTATGATATTTGAACTGCAGCCTCTAATATGTTCAGGAAATGTTACCAGTTTCATGAAATGTTGGTCAGCCTCATTTACAGGAACAGAACTTCACTTTCTGTCTAAATCTATTTAGGATTGTGGCTTTAAGACAATCATTTAACTGCAGTTAATATATTTAGAAACAACAAACTGACTCACCTAAGTTGGCAGTGAAGTTAAAATACATTTTAAATATAGATAGTCTTAACAATTACAATTTAAAAAGCTACAATACTCATCACCCAATTCAACTTTTGCTCTTTAAATAATCTCATCACTCCAGTAAATAATCCAAGGAACAGATTTCTCATAGAAGGCTAGAGTCAGCAAATAGGACTTTTGTGTAGCTACTTTCAAATTAGTTTAAAACAAAAATGAAGAAAAACGCCAATTTTTTAAGCAGCAATGAGTATCTAGATCTTGTTACTATAATTGCTTCCCACAATGCTTTGATGCACAAACAGTTTGAGGCATTGTGGGACATTTAAGTGGATTTTAGAAATGTTCTGATTTTTGCTCAGAATTTCTTCAGGCCTGCAACCAATTCTGCCTATATTGATTTGACTATTTTCCATTATAATGGCCAAATAGAAAACATTCTGTTTTGAATGACTGCCTGGTTCAATTCCAGTGTAATTTAAAAGAAAATCAGGGCTTTGAGGTGTGTCTCAAGTCAGCCTTTAGATCACCTAGTTAGAATTATCGCTATGAAGTAAAGAGAATTATATTTCTATTTAATTATAATTACATTTCTTTTGGGGGATGGATTGTTTAAAACAAATGGCTGCCATCTCATAGCTAGAGTTGTATGTTCATTCTTTTGTTCTCATCAGGTTTCTGATGAAATGTTTTCTCTTTTTTGTTAAAATGTAATTGTCCACAAAAATTTACTTTTCCTTGCTGGCATAGATATTCTTTAATATTGAAAGAAAAAAAATGAAAAACTGAACTGATTGAAAGAATGAAGTCATTTAACAAAGGAAACCAAAGGACTGAACTCATTAGTCAAACCGATCATACTTGAATTTATTGCATGGGATTGGGACAACATAGCATATGTACTATGATTGGGACAACATAGCATATGTACTAATATTTTAATGATTTAAACTAGCCCAAATTGAATCAGGTTTGGAGATTTGAACAGAATTGATTCAGATTTCTGAACCAGAAGAATTTCGGAGATTCTTCTGAATCAATTTGAACAAACCAATTTGGACACCCCTGATAGGAATGTAGGTAATTCATTGGATAGGTGATTAAATAGCGAAACAGACAGACCAACCTGAGAGATACTGCATTTGGCCCATAGATTTCTCTTACTGCTGCCAAGTCAGCTTCCAACTGTGGATGTTTGTGAAGTTCTCCATCATAACTAACCTGCAGAGGAGTGGGGAATAAGAAATATTTTCTTTTAAGGTATCACAAATTGAGTAGCAAAGCTTTCCTTCTCCAATGTCTCATTTTTCTTTTGAGTGTCTAGTCCAAACATAAAGTAGCCTTATCTCAAAAAGTATATCTGTAAAAAGGGAAGACACTTAATTCTGCTGAATGTTCATTTCCCCCCTCGGGAACTCATTTTGCTATATGATGTCTTAGAATTCTGCTCCTAAGTCCTGTATGGGAAACTCCAATGGATTTCTTAGTAGAAGAAGCCAAAATTTTAATTGTTTCCATTGGCAACAGGAAGAGTATAAAAAGAACATCCTTTTACTATTGCTGCTCCTGGCAAAACTGTTATTCAGACTTACATGATCTGTCAACATGGCCATTGTGCTTAGTCCTCATGACAAACAAGAACATGTAATCTTTGATTGACTGTCTTCATGTAATAGGTGTAAACCAAGATAGCATTTAAGAACTCATTGTTAAAAAATAATCCTACATGGAGATGCTATATAAATGGTCCAAAAATTATTGTTTTTCTTTATTAAAAAGACCAGAACTGAAAATATTGGTATCACAAATATAATACTAAGAATATTTTTATTATTTCATTCAGTACTGAACATGCATAACACTGTTCTAAATTGTCGTTCAGCTAGGCACAGTACACCACATGGATTCTTTTAATTTGTATTTACTGAACTACTACATCTAAGTGATTAAATTTGTTTATACTTGTGAAGAATGTTGGAAGTCACTTTTTAAGCATTTCTTTATTATATTATCTTTTTCTTTTTTCTGCACTCTTTTTTGTGTCTAAGTTTAGTTTGTATTCATTTTACTATTATAATCAAAATTCTTAATAAAACTTATATTTAGAAAATGCTTAATATTAATAAATTGCATACTCCACAATAAACTGTCATATATCAACATTATCCCAGGCAGTTGTTCATACTTCTAGTTTGTGTAATATTACTTAGGTCTAATACATTTATTTCATAAATATGCTGTTAGCCAGTGCTAAATTACCATTCATAATTTCATCTTAGAATTGACCTTCAGGATGTATGATGTTTCTTGTTTTTGTTTTGTCCTTATATGTAAATAAAATAAACTTTTTTTTTAAAAAAAAAAGGATGTATGATGCCAAGAAAACTTGAATAAGATTTCTTTAAATACCAATCTATTGGCATCTGAGTAGGAGACCTATATGATATACAGGTAATCCCCAGGTTACAAGTATTCTCTGAGTGAATATTCAAAGTAACGCAATAAGCACCCCCTAATGTTTACAAACAAGTTCCATAATTACAAATGTTGCAGCACCACAGCAGTTGTTCGCTCTTACGACAACCGCAGAGGCTCTGCAGCACTCGCCCTGCTTATTCATGCTCCCGCTGGGTCTTCACAGGCACTCCACTTACCTTGCGAAGATCTCCTCTCTGGTTTTTTGCCTACTTTGTTGTTTCAGGCTTTTGGTGCATTTGTAGAGAAGAGAGGTATAACGTACTGCAAAATCATGCGAGATCAGTAGCATGAGATCTCGTGCTACTGATTTTGCATGGTCTCACACGTTAGGCCTCTATTCTCTTATGAATTGAGGTCTGGACATTTACAAATGGAAGGAAGGCGTCGGTCCTTCAGGCCTTCCCTCTGTTTGTTGCTTCCTTGCGGAAACCTGCAGGGAAATTACATCCCTTTAGGCTTCAGCAGACCTTTGCAAAAAGCCTTGGTCGGCACCAGCGAAACTTGGGAAGGGCAGACCCACCCTTCCAAAGTTCTGTTCCTACTGGCAAAGGCTTTTTTCAAAAGGGCTGCCGAAGCCTACAGGGACATAATTCTCAAGCACTTTGCCGATGAGAAAGGAGGCCCAGAATGGTGCAAACGGCCCCCTGGGCCTCCTTTTTTTGTTGCAGAAGCCATCTTCAAGCAGTTTGGCAGTGAGGAAGAAGGCACGAAGGTGCACCATTCCGGGCCTTGTTTCCTGCCCCTGAACTGCTTGAGGAAGGCTTCGGCAATGAAAAAGGAGGCAGGGAAGGGCTGTGTGCACACCTCCAGGCTGCCTTTTTTGCCGCCAAACTGCTTGAGGAAGGCTTCGGTGACAAAAGGAGAGAACAGGAAAAGAAACAGGCTGGAGAGGAGACAGATCTTCATCAGGTAAGTGACCCGGAATGGCAGGATTGGGTAGCGGTGGTGAGAATGAGGTACTGTGGGTCAGTTGTCTGAAGCAGGTGGCCTGTTCCATCACCAGGCTCCCTTCCCCATCCCAAGATACCTCAAGTGTACTTAACAAGCCGTGCATTCGATTAGTGGATGTGTGGGCAAAAGGAGGGAGTGATTGCGTTCAAGGTAGGAGATTCACTCCCACAAATCCTTTGGTTATGAATGGAATGGGCAGGCTCCATTTGTAACCCAAGGCCTACCTGTAAATGGTTCTGACTGAAGGCAAAGACTATCAAATGCTGAAGTTGTTATCTGATGGTAGACTTAAGCATTAGCACTATGCTGGTCCAGTTTTCCCCTAGATAAGGGACCATTTCTTCCCATTTACTCTCTAGCAATATTAAAAATTTGCATTGATTTTATTGGAGTCTGAATGTTTAGCTTTTAGACTCATTTGCAAATTCCTTTAGGCTTTGTTGAAGCACTAGGTATAATGAAAGGTCTATACAGTTGAATGGTAAATTGCAACATTCCAGACTGGAATGGGAACTCTGTGTGTGCATGTGTGTGTGTGCGTGTGTGTGAACTAGCAAGCTATCTGAAGAATTAAATAGCTGTAAATACCTGACAGCTGTCGACAATCCTGCAGTATCATATTTTACAAAGCAACTCAATTTACTCAAGGCCATGGAACTCAAGAGAATGCATCTGTCCTACTAAAAGATTTCTCTATGGGTATAGCTTATCTGGTTTTATTCACATTGAATTCTGATTGCCAAGGACACCTACACAGAAAGATATATTACCAGATTTTAATATATTTTCCTCCCTATTCATGTTTAAATCATTGTTTCTGTTGAGTGTTTCTAATCTTTATATCTTGCCTCTTCAGAAGTTCAAGATGGTATCTGTCTAACAATCTGCATATTTCCTCTCCCTCCACCCAAACCAATAACCCTACAGAGAAGACAGGGGCAAGAGAAAGCAATTAGCTCAAAGTATCTAATCATCCAGGTATTGGCTGTCCCAAAGATATTTTTCCAAAAGGTAACTGAACTATCTTGATTTTTTTTTTTTTTTGAAAACATTTCACTGAAATGTTCTTTCAAGGAAAAAAAAAGCAAATGCAGTTTTGCTTTCATTTCCAGAAACATTATCATAATGAAAAGTGAAGTACTCAAAAAGATAAAAAATATCTCTTTTTTTGTGCCTGAAAAAATTGTACTTAAAAGTGATGTGCCATTAAATTGAGGCATGATATAGATTTCAGGTTGTCGCTTGTGAAGAACAAGGCATTTTTCTCTGTAAAACTCTGTACAGGTGTCTAACAGGAGAAACAAAACTATCAGAGCTCAAAGCTCTTTTCTTTCTTACCGTCTCTGCCTTCTAATCTTTCAACTGATCGCAACCATTCATCTCTGATTAAATAAGCACAACACTTATTTAGTAAGAAAGATTGATGGAGCCATCTTATTTCCGTTCCTTATCACTTTTACTTGGCTTTGTTCTTATATCCATTTAAACCCATTTCTACATTAATTACAATTTTTAGAATATGTTTAAATTCATGATTATTTATGTTCATTGGTCAATACGTTTCAGAAAATGCAATAGTATAAATGTTACCAGAATGATTATTAAAAATATATTACAGGAATTAATTTGAAAAGTGAGCCTAGAAAACTGTTTGGCAGAATTCTGATTCAAAGGGCACAAGAGGTGATAGTGAAATATTGGAAATACGACCAGACTTTATTCTGTGAAATGCAGACAAGAATTTTGCATTTTAGTGGATCATTGAGGAATGTATGAATATGAGAAAATATACTGAACATTTGCTGAACAGAACAAAATGCATGACAAACTTGATAGCCTTGGAGTATTGAATGCTTGGTGTGAATAAAGAATTGACATTTCTTACTGAATTCAATAAGAGAAATGAAGGTGTGTGTTTACAAATTAAATGCAAATGTTTCACACAGAAATAAGCCAAAGCTGTCTGGTGTCTCTTTGGTTGTTTATTAATAGGTAATTGTGAAGGAATGTTCACAATGATGTTAGACATATGTTGGTTGGGACTTGAATGAGCATGTACTTTTATATACAAATCATGACATGTTGTTGCATGAAAATATGAATATTTTGCACTGAATGTTAGAGTACATGACACTATGAGCAATATGGGTCTAAAAATAAATATATCAAATATCAAAGTAGTTATGATTGCAAGGGAAAATGGAGTGAAAGTTATGGGAAAAAACAGCCAAGTAACTAAGTTTTATATGCTTTGATAAAATGGTTACAAAGGTGGGAAAATGGATGGATAATAGAATAGACTAATAGACTGTCTTGTTGAGAATGATAGCTATGCATAAGACCATACTTTATTAAATGGAAGTGGAAATTTGGTGTGCCAGGAGAAATTTAAATGCAGCAGGAAGTGGTTATTTCAGAAGTGTGTGTGATAGGGCAAGAAGAGGTAGGGTCAAGAAAGAATAGGATGATAAATGAAGGTAGATCAAATACAAAAATAGGTGATCAGTTTGAAAGAAGTACTCTGAGGTGGTTTGGTCACATAGGCAAAATGAACTGTGATCAGATTTTAAAAGTAAACGTATGAAGGACACTGAATGGTGTGTCAATGGCAAAAGACGACTAAGAAAATTGTGGTTTGATTAAGTTGTAGAATAGAATAGAATAGAATAGAATAGAATAGAATAGAATAGAATAGAATAGAATAGAATAGAACAGAACAGAATAGAATTCTTTATTGGCCAAGAAATTTAAGGACAAAGGCAATGAGGTGCATGGTAGAGAATCTCAGGACGATGTGCAAGGATAGAAAGGCTTAGAGAGTGCAATAATGAATGATGTTGGTGTAAACTAGATTTAACCAGATTTCTTTTCCTTTTATCTCTTACGTTCATTAATTTTGCTCATTACTTATGGTTTTTCTGGATTTTATATAACATTACTCACCCTGAAAAGGAGTAGCATGAATATGCAGGCAAGTCTCTGCCTAATCAAGAATCTTTATGAATTTAATGGAACTAACTTCCACATAAGTAAATATTACTGGCATGTAAATGTACTTTCATAATAATATAATATTTGGTAATATAATGGAGCAGGATTTCTACAACACTGTTTGAAAATAGAAAACACTTCTAAGTTACATACTTATAAAATGTATATATGACATCACAATTTTGGGAAAGTTAAGGAGCCCAAAATACAATTAAGTATGTTTTTATTTTATTATATTCCATTTGCATACAATCCTGAGAGGATTAAATCCAATTAATTCATACAAAAATTCCTCAATCATTATTAGAGATAAGCATACATTTAATTTTCTTTCTTTCTTTTGGCAATTGTTTTGTTCTTTTAATCTCAATTTTTTTAAATTGATGAATTACCTTGGTAGGTAAGTTCATTAATAAACTATGTATACCACAACTTTCCCAAAAGTACACCTAAATAGAATTAGCAGAAAGGTCAGCTCAAACAGCAGCTTACTAAGAAAAAAAAAATCTACCAGAATATTGTTTAAATTGACTTCTGAAGACTTGAGGTAAGATGAATCTCTTGAAATGGACAAAGCCTTCAATATTTAATTCCACTCTTGAAAACTATGTTTACAAACATGTACATGCAAAGTACAAGACAGAATCGATTTTCTTCTAGAAAATGAAATATATTCAGGAATTTGTAGGGATAGAGCAGTGGCGGGATTCAAATAATTTAACAACTGGTTTGCCCAGGGTCAGGTTGGCTGTCGTGGGAGGCGTAGCCCATCCCTGTCCTCCAGCTCCGCCGCACATGCGGGATGAGCCTCCCACGATGACCAACCTGACCCTGGGAAAACCGGTTGTTAAATTACCTCTACCCTACCTCCGCTATCAAAGTGGATCCTAGGCGCTGCGCTGCAATGGAAAAATGGGCAACGAAGCAGCCGCATGAGGGAAGGAGGGGGATCAGAGAGAAGAAAGAGGGAGAGCAGCCTTCTCCTTCCCTCATGCCAGCCTCTCCATTGCCTGTTTCTCCATTGCAACACAGCAGCCAGGATGCATTGTGATAGCCAGGTAGGGGTGTTAACAAATGGTTCAGTTGAACCAGTGCGAACCGGCTGAATCCCACCACTGGTCTAGGAATAGTCCTGGAGATATCCAGGTCGTGAAAGTCATGCTTCTCTGAATGTTATTTATCATTCTTCAATTCTTTGCATACTACTTTCATTTATTAATATCTATATAAAGTGTTGAAATTTGTTCCTAAGCTGAACTGTGATGGTCAATATATGAAATATCAGAGACATATACTGACATTTTAAGGTTCACATTAATGAAGGATAGGCTAAAACACCTTTGGCTGACTTTTGATGAATAAATATTATTTAAACGGAAAGTAGGCTTTCCTAATCTTTGATCATGTACATACTTAAATTCCAAACATGCACATATTTTAACAGTAAAGATCAAAAGCACTCTAAAGCGTAAATATCACAACAGGAATCCAATTCACACTATCAACACTCTACCCTTTAGAAAGCAACTTGAGTACCACAAGTGCCTGGAACGGTAGAGGGCTGAAGTATAGATTTTCTTTCACTGCCCTAAGCAAACATACATAAAAATGCAATTCTGTAATATGGAATAAAAATCTAAATATGAACTAAGAACCTAGTTTATAATAAAATCAAGACAACAGTTGTTTTGTACAAACTGCATAGTCCCCATTAGTGATGAACAATAACAATCTGGATATTGCAGTGATGCAATTAATTTTAAATGATAATTGATATCCAACTTGGATTCCCTATAAGTTGATCTTTAACATTTAGCTGATTTGGGGGGGGGGGTTTCTTATGGCCACAAAACGACAGTTGCTTTTAGTATTTGGAGACAATCTCTAACAGCTGGAAATTCTACTAAATTGCAATAGCTGTTTTCAGAAACACTTTCTAATATAAATGCTTCTTCCTAAAACATGAATAAGCAATGCACATTCATTTGAATTACGAATCTGAACAGTTCTGAAGTGGTAGAATATTGTGAGCTATTATGGAAGTTAAGAGTCTACCTTCATTGGGAAAATTACATGTTATTGTGTAATGGTAAGAGGAAAAAAAAGGAGAACTGCAGAGTAGGATATGAAGACTGTCCATCTTATTATGTGTAGATTCGATATTGTATTTAAATTCCATCTAGGTGACTGATAACTCTTGTTTACCTGCCCTCCATAGTAAAACTCTTCAGAGTCATTGTCTCCTTCTGAATCTTCTTCAACCACAGTACCGTGTCTTGATTCCTGATTAGAAAAAAAAAGAAAGAAGAGGAACTGAGTTTTTATTTGATTGTGTTATTCCAGGCTACAGAATACTCCAGTTTCAAAAGGAAAAAAAAACATTTCAGAGTATGCAGCACTATAGCTGTAGCCCTAAAATCAAACATATTTTCCTCCAGAATTGCGTGGCAGCTGCTCTATCTATAAATTGTTTAAATTTTTCCAGTAATTTTCACATTCTATAATCTAAGAGGTAGGTAGAGACAGAAGAAAAGACAAAGAATAGTGGTACATAATTCTAAATCAAAGTTAGTTCATAAGCTATACCGGTTTTACACCCAATTAAAAGTAAAAGTTTATAACTTCCCCCACTGTCACCAGTCACATGATCCAATCACCAAACAATCTAGTTATTGGGTGACTTCAGTCTCCACCTTCCAAACATCTGCAGCAATGTCCTTGATTCCCAGGAGAAATAATTTTATTTTGGCTACAGCAACCCAGTTATCACTACACCCCACCCCTCCCTGCCCCTCAGCTCCAGGCTGTGTCAAGCCTGAAGCCATGTGAAGAAAAATCCCTGTAGAAAAGGCTACAGAAAAGAAAATGGCCACAGCCAGGTCAATTTTAGTGTTGACAGATATACTTGATTGGCAATAATGCAGTCATTCAGATGGTTATGTGTGATGTATACAGGAATGACTTTGAGGAACAAGGGGAAGAGATGCAACCTAGCGATTGAAGAGACAAGAAGGGGCAAAGTCTGCAATTGCTTAATGGTCAGAGAAAAAACTTAAGAAGGACTCATCCTATTTAATCAGGCTGTTAAAGGATACAACTTGCAAGATTCTTTTAATGTAGCCCTACATTAAAGTAGAATTGGCTTATCTGGTTATGTTATTTATCTGGTTTACCTGGAGGGCTGATACTGTGTTATTACTTATGTGTCAATTCTTTGAACTATTTAGATCAGGAGTTATATAAATTGTTTATGGCAATGCAAGAACAATTGAGCATTGTTCGGTTATGAGATGACATCATTAAATGAGAAGCTTGACAGGTACGGAATTGTGGGACTGCACTTTATAAAGGTGATAATAGATATTGTAAGACTCAACATATTCATTTGGACCAGTTATGCTGGCAAAATTGGATATTTACTACTTTTAACTAAGCAATCTAAGAATAGTCTGGGACATGCAAATAAAGTGCTTGCGGCCACATATGTCCCATGGATTACCCACCCCTTGTTTAAATGCCCCCACCTGTCAAGCAGTTGAGATTAAGCAGTATGTCCCATCAAAAACTTGTCTGGGTTACCACTGCACACCAGCACAAAGTGTATTTTAATGTAGGAGAAATAGGGAAAAAGTTTGTGTTGGGGAAAAAATCAAAGATCTTCAGATCCATTACTTGATAGGGCAGTTTGGATCTAAAGACTAAAATGAATGGCTATGAAATCCAGATTAAACCAAAGCTCTTTAACATGCTAAAGTTTTGACTTGCAGGAATGGTCTGAATGCACTGAGGAATAAAGTCATTGCAAATGTTTTGCTGTAGTTCCTGGATCTGTTTCAAAAGTTGTGCCCAAATTATAAATTTTAATGTTAAGAACCATGAGATCATTAAATATATGAAGACATTCATATAATTCAATTTGAATTAATTTAAGACAAATTTAATATTTGTCCAGAGACTCTGCCAACTTTCTTGAATACTGTGACCAGCATGTCAACGACAAAGACTAAAAGCTCAAAGTATTTTTTTTTTTTTACCACAGGGGTCTCCAAACTTGGCAACTTTAAGATTTGTGGACTTCAACTCCCCAGACAGCATGGCTGGCTGAGGAATTCTGGAACTTGAAGTCCACAAGTCCTAAAGTTGCCAAGTTTGGAGACCCCTATTTTACCAGGACAGAAGGAAAAAATCTGTAAAATCAGAGTTGAATTGTGAAGTCCTTAGCGCACTCTGAACTTGGTTGTTTCCTTGCAGATGCTTTGTTACTTGAATAGGTAACATCAGCACCACAAACACCCCTGATTTGATTTTAACTATATTTGCTTTTAATTAAATTTAAATTTAATTATCCTGCTTGTAGGCATTTTTTTCAGAATGGAGCCTTGGCAAATTATTCAAAGGTCAAATCTAAAAAGACTCTGGCCTAGAATGACTTTTGGAAAACATTCTTTATACTATTGGCTATTAAATTAGAAAGCAACATATTCTGGGTCTACAATGTTCCTTCCATTACTGAATACATGTACAGGAAATGTTCATCTGTTGGTGTCCATGAACACAACTAACATGAGACAGCTATAAAAAGCTATATTGCAAAAACATGAGCAATCTCATTTCTTCTGAAATTCTTTGGTAGGAATAATATACAATGTAACCACAGGCCTTCAAGAAAAGCTTTAAGGCTCATTTATTTTCCATGGCCTTCTGCTGAGTTGTGCTTTTTATAGAATTGTTAATGGTTGTGACTGCAACATTTTGGGTTCTTAAAATATTTTAGGCATAACAAATTTGTTTTCTTGTTACATCTGTATTTTTGTTACATCTGTATGCTCTAATCTTCATATTTGCATAATTTTTAATCTTCCGAGGGCTTTTTTATGACAAAAGATGGCTTAATTTTAATACATGAAAACTTACAAAATTAAAATAGCCAAGTAAAATATTTTGCATACTTAATGGGAAAATCTTGGAAGGAAAATATGTTTCTATTTATTTCTATTGAAATATTACTAATTAGCCTGTTTTCAGATTCTTTCAGATGAAATGACTGTTACACCCTAACAAATAATACGTAAAATGAAATTTCCTGGCAGAGGTTGATGGTGGCCACCAGTATAGATTCTTTCAGAAAGAAATTTAATGAATTTGTGCAGAAAAGTTTAAGCAAGCAAGGATTAATTTCTACACTCAAGATCATAGGTGCCTTTCATTACCAGTGGATAGGTAATATGAACTTGTCTCTAGCTGAATTGCAGGCACTTAGTTGAGTCTAGACCTTTGATGTACAATTTCAATGACTTTGTAACACTGTTTCCATTTATGTTTAGATCATGGAGCCTTACTTACAACAAAGTGTCAAGCATGGATGTTGTCAGGCATTTCCCATCCCCCTGGCTATGGCAACTCGGGAACAGGTCAGGAAAGCTTTGCGAGTTGACAAAGTTCTCAGATAGTGGTAAATGATGACTTGGGTGGCATCACATCAAATGGTGTGACTTATGTAGCAGATGTGTGTCCATCAGTACATAATAAATCTCATACTATAATTCTGGCATCATTTTAGTTTATTACAAATGGGACTATTAGGAGGATTTCTTAGTCATAGGAATTAGGACACATACAGATTCCAACAAGCATAAAAGTAGTCTGTTCACATCACAGAAGTAGCTTGGATATGATTAAAGTGGGTGTCATGCCCCTGGTGGAGACTGACTCTGAGGAGGAGGAGGAACAGCCAACAGGGAGTGGGAGTGTGGCTCCAGAGGTGGTGGAGAAGGCTGGGGAAGGGCAGAGGCCGGCTGAGCAGTCAGAGGAGGATCCAGGCCCATCCCCTATCCATCCTAGGTCACGCAGGGAGGAGAGGGTCAGGGAAAAGTGAGGTCTACCCAAGAGGAGATTACCATGATCCTTCTCGTTGCTTGCAGGTGGGAGCTATGTATATAAGTTTGCAACTGCGCAGTTAGAATTTGCAGGAGTCAATTTAGTGTTCACCTTGAAAGAGGTTTATCTTTGCTGCCGTTCTTCCCATAATCTTTTTTCTCGGTTATTTTCTTGGAGTTTATGATTAGTTATCTTGGCTTGCTTCGGAACTCTCATCAATGTGGTTTGTTTTGGTTTTCTGTTTGCCTCATTATTTACTTTTGTGACTTTAAACTGTGCCTAATGAAACAGTGAAGTTAAGTTGAAGGCCTTACCGGACTTTAATATATGTTTTGGGTTTGGGGTTATTTTGAGAGACTACGGGTCATCACAGTGGGATACATGTAATTCCTCACTGATGATGGTAATAGAGCCTGCCTTAAGTCATGACTTTCATAAAACGGATCATTCATGTGACCAACCTGATTTTACTACCTTTATTTTGTGGCAGTCATTAAGCAAACCACCATGGTCATTAAACAAATCTGTAGTTCTTAAACAAACCCATTGTTCGCAATTGGGGGTTACGGAAAACCAGAAGTAAATGACAATTTTCAGCAAAAAAACATTGTAAGTTGTGGTCACATCACTGTGGCATGATGCAAACAGTCATAGATACAGGATATTTGCCAAGTCCCCCAAAATGCGGTCATGTGACTACAAGAGGGAGGGTATAGAAACCAGTACATTGGAACCAGATATAAGTTCCTTTAGGGAAGTGCCTTTTGGGAGAGGGAGTCTGCCAGAACTTTAAACTGTCATTAAGTGACTAATCATAAATTGAGGACCATCTATATCTTGGAAGAACCCAGTGTTGATTCCCTTTTTGTCCTGGCACTTGGAAACAAGTATTATCAATTTTTTAAAAAATTACTGTACCTCTCCATTTTCTCTTTGTAACTTTGACTTTATAAACAAACAACAGTTGACATCATTGGTTTTTCGCAATTCTAAAGAAAAGTAAGAAAAACGATAAAATTAGCAAATTAAAGCATTTCTGAAATGTATGTAAATACTTGTCATCCATTAGCACAGGGATGTCAAACTTGATTTCATTGAGGGCCGCATCAGGATTGTGTTTGACCTTGCAGAACCTGTGTGTGTGTGTGTGTGTGTGTGTGTGTGTGTGAGAGAGAGAGAGAGAGAGAGAGAGAGAGAGAGAGAGAGAGAGAATCTATGTGTCCCCGGGATGTGTGTGGCCATGGTGGGTATGACATGTGACTCTTGTCGGGACCACCTGTGGTGGCCAAGTGCGCACCCCGTTTTCAATCTGGGCAGTTTCCTGAAGCCCTCTGACAGTGAAAATGGAGCCCGGAGGTGGGCTTGAGTTTGACAATTCTGCATTAGAAGCTCTACTCTGTTTGCCCTGGAATTGTCAGAAATTTGGGACATTAGACATAATGGATCTAATGATGATCTCTGTGAGAGTGTATTCAAAATGTCACAACAAAGAAGGTTCCAATGATCTACCTCAGGCCTGTCAAACTGGCAGCCCATGGGCCGGATACGACCCAGGCAGGCCACACCCATGCCAGCTCCATGAAAGCAAAAAACATCATGATACGGCCCGCAATGAGAACGGGTTTGGCACTCCTGATCTAGCTAGATAATGTCATCTGACGTGTATGTCAGATGCCCTAAAAAATGTTAATCTTGTATTTTTGCAAAAATCTCTCCTTTCCTTGGCCCATCAGTTTCTGCTGTGTTATTTAATAAATTACTTCTAAGAAAAGTTGCCATCTCATCCAAGTTGCATATTTTAACTCCCATTCATCTAAGAGTTAAATTAAACAAATGTAACATGACCTTTTATTTATGAGAAAAAAACTGGTTATTTATTTACTTGTATCCCATTATTTTTTACAAAATGTCAAGGCAGAGAACATATCCAAAACACCTTCCTTCTCCTATTTCCCCACAATAACCTTGTGAGGTGAGTTGGGCTGAGACAAAGTGACAAAGCCACCCAGCTGGCTTTCATGGCTAAGGTAGGTCTTGAACTCATCAGCTCTTGCTTACTAGCATGACGCCGTAGCCATTGGATCACCCTTGATAAGAAGTCCAAATAAAACAAATAAGCTTGCAAATAAAGAGCAGCCTATGTTTACTGGGGATAGACTGAGTTCTCCAAAATCATTTAGCATCATTTAGCGTCTGTAAGTATCTGTAAGTATCAAGTGATCAAAGGACCGCTTTACTATAAAGATGCTGCATTTCTCTGAAGCCATTCTCTTGAAAGAGAAAGATGAAGCCTAAATGTATGCTTACATATGGATAACTAAAAAAGCTACTTCTCAACAGTCCAGTCAAGGTTTGATGTTTTAGTGGTTTACATTCTTAAATTTGATTGTTTTTTTTTTTGGCCAGGACCATAAGTACAGCTTAGTTGAGGGCACAGGAAATGATGAGAAAGATCATGCCATCCTTTGTTTTCCTCACTGTGCCAGTCTTACATCGCATGAAGGTCTCCCCCCCCCCTCTATTTGGGCACCCAAAACATCTCTTTCCCACTCCAGCTTGAGCTTCTGCACCCATCTACCTTCCTCAGAAAACTCCCTGTTTCTTAGCAGCAGTGCAAGTAAAAACAGCTCTAGCTCATATAATGATCATCTGGACTTTTCAGTTTGGGTAATGTGCCTCTTCTTGACCCCTCGTTCCTCCACAAGCTAAAAGGAAGATGTGAAAAGACAAAAAAGAGTGTCCAGCTTGATCTCTGGGGAAACCTCCAGAGCATCTGAGGCCTTTGTTTCTACTGCGTATTGTTGGCACTTCTGATTACAGCCCACAGAAACACCCCTTGGGAATCACCAAATAATGGTTGGCTTTAAAAGGAACTACTACAACATCACGTCCACAAACAAAAAACTAGTGCTAAATTAGGCAAGATTAGAAAAGAAAACAAGTGAAAAGCTATGCCTACATCCTGGCCAAAACGATAAGAAAAAATAGTCCACATTTCCATCCTTAACCCGACCATGTTTGGTGACATATGTAATGATGTTGCCTGTAAAAATTTAAAATATGTAATTTTAGCCACCAAAATATTAGTCATCTTTGTCCATTCCATATAGATCATAAAATGTTCTAAGCAGTGGTTGGATTAAAATAATTCAACAACCGGTTTGTGTGAACCGGTGCGAATCAGCTGAATCCCGCCATTGGTTCTAAGGAGTCTAGCAGAATGTAAGACCCTAATTACTATTTTCTGTTTCTAGTTGTTCTATTTATTCTTAAGCTTTTTTCTAAGCCACACCTGCCAATAGCGCCCATGTGCCTTGCTAGAGCATAGGAATACATAAATTCAGTCTTTTTGAAAATCATACAAACCAATGGGCAGACAGAATAGTTAACATGCTTTCCCCATTCTGGTTCTGCAGATCTATTAAGATTACAACTCTGAGATCTCTTAGCATTGCTGAGATTTGATATACAAGGGAAACAGAAGGTTGTTGACAGTTTTGTAGCTTAACAATCCATTTTTACTGTGGGATTAGGTGTGATTTCTTCTGCACTGATCAGCCTTAGGAAATATTCAACATAACTTCCTTGGCTTCAGAAATGTCTGTTGGTGAAATCAGGTGTAGTCCAGCTGTAGGAGAAATACACTACATTCTGCCCGGTATAATAAATTAAATAATATAAAACATCACCTGTAGAAATTCGGTGGAAAATTACTGGAATTGGCTCTGTTGTTACTAGTACATCTTCATCATTATCTGAGCTGGACACATAAGTGTTATCTGCAATAAGGCAAAGAAAACACTACATTTAACTTACACAGAAACCTCTAAATCTTAGCGTGACAACAAACTGCAAAAGCAAGCAACCAACAAATATCAATATTCACTGGTCTCATGGAGACCAGATTGTGGCACAGCATTAATAAGCCAGAGTCAAAAGGGCAAGTGTTGCTTTGCCTGTGATGAATTAATGATAAAAATGTATTCAATAATCAGTTTTATGGGTCTAGGCTGTAATCCATAACCCACTTAGTCAAGGCCTTAAACTATTTTTTTAACTGCTCATTGATTTTCAGTCCCATTTGGAAACCTGAACATGCTTTTTCCTAGCCTATTTCTCTTTCATTTGGCAACCATTAATTTGCTTAACCCTTCAGCAGGCTGTAAAAAAAAACAACAACAAAGATGCTGATTACCTTTTATTTACTTTATCTCATGTCCATGAGGTCGTGACCAATAGTGGGCAAGTGGCCATTATTCATCATTTGAACCTGGTTGTTGAACAAGAAAGTTGTATCCGCTTCCACCCGAACCAGAGGCTGATCAATCGGGGCTTCATTGTGGGGCATAGAAAGCTAAGTAGGCTTTGTCATAGCTTTAAGGTGTGTGTATTTCAACTCCCAGAATTCCCCAACTAGCATTGCTGGTTGGGGATTTCTGGGAATTAAAGTCCGCAGAACCTTAAAGTTCCCAAATTTGAGAAGCACTAAACAGTTCTTTGTAACTCAGTAAGCTCAGATAGACTATTTATTGGCTAGCCATTACTTCATGCTGTTACTCATTGAAACATACTCCTTAAGCTATAATGTCTCCTAAAGGAGTCGTTGTGTTGTGTATTGTATTGATTCCCAGTAATGGAACTTTTAATCTTTGCACTGTGTATTGGAAAGCTTTTTAACTTTTTTTTTTTTTAGAACATTGGCTTCTTTATCAAGCATATATTCAGTCAAGAGATGCAATAAGAATTCTAGAATATGCCTGCAGTGTGTATTGGAAGAAGGGATTGGTGGCCATGGAAATGACTCAAAGGCCATTTTAATGCAAGCTTTGCCAGAAAAATCCCTTCAATGGGGGATAAAGCAAAGTGACTCCCATTCACAGAAATCACTATCATAAAACAGAGATAAGGAATCGCCGTGCCTCAACTTTTAGTAGAGGCAGAGATCATCATCATTTTGCAATCTACCTTGACTATATTCACAGACAACATACAACACACATGCATTTTACGCAGAGGTATAGAACAGGGGTCCCCAACCACCGGGCCGCGGACCGGTACCGGGCCGTGGAGCACTCTTTACCGGGCCGCAAAGAAAATAAAATTAAAAAAAATGGCGGCTTTCTTCGCCTTCGGTGAATGCTGCTGGGATCGGGGATCAAGGACACAAATGAAAGAAGGGGAGGGAGGAAGCAACCGAAGCCTATCCTGCTCTCTGGCTCAGCTCTCTCAGTCGCTTTCTCGCTCCTCCACCAGCCCAGGAAGAAACTGCTTCAAAGAAGCCGGGGGGTGGGGTGGCTTTTCCTGTCGCCGCAGCTTCCCCGAAGCGCCCGTTTCACCCCCACCCCGCCCGCCCGCTCGCTCGCGGTTCAATCCACAGTGCTCCGTTCTGCCTGTCTGGTTGTTTGGGAGCAGCTTCGGCTGAGAATAATAACTATTCGCCTCTTTTTATCAGCCGAAGCTGCTCCGAAACGAAGAAGGCAGGCAGGCAGGCAGGTAGAACGGAGCACTGTGGATTGAACCACGAGCGGGCGGGCGGGCGGGGTGGGGGTGAAACGGGCGCTTCGGGGAAGCTGTGGCGACAGGAAAAGCCACCCCACCCCCCGGCTTCTTTGAAGCAGTTTCTTCCTGGGCTGCTGTAGGAGCGATAGAGTGACTGAGAGAGGAACGAGGCAGACACCTGAGGGAGGGAGGGAGGCAGACACCTGAGGGATAGGGCTGAGGGAGGCAGGGCCGAGGCGCTCCCTGAACTTGGTGGTTTGCTGGCAGACGTTTTATTACCCGACTAGGTAACAACATCAGATGTTACCTAGTCAGGTAATGAAACGTCTGCAAGCAAACTACCAAACTCGGATTCCCCCCCCCCCCCCGGTCCTTTAAAAAATGTTTCTGCTTGAAACCGGTCCCTGGTACAAAAAAGGTTGGGGACCACTGGTATAGAACACATGTGTGTCTCCCTATTTTTACCTGCAGTGATAATGATATAGATCAGTGGTCTCCAAACTTTGCGGCTTGGCACCACAGCTAGGAGGCAGAGGGAAACCAGGCCATGTGAGTGGCAGGCTGGTGCACGTGTGCATGTGCAGCTCAAATTGTGTGAGTGGTGGACCAGTGCGCATGCACAAATACCTGCAGCTCCACTGTAAGTGGAGCTGCACATACATGCACATGGGCCCGCTGCTCATGCAAGTTGAGCTGAAAGCACATGCACATGTACAATGAACCACTGCGCACATGGCCTGGTTGTGAACAGGCCACGGCCCAGTGGTGGCCCGCAGTCTGAGACCCTTGATATAGATGGTATTTGATCTAAGGGAATGGTTATTTTAGCTGTATATTTATTTAAATGATTTATACAGCTGTCCATCACAAAATCATTGGTTATCATTTCCCCATCTGCAGCATCAAGAAAATCCAAATTTGGTGCAAATTTGGTGCGTAAGGAGCCTCTGTGGCGCAGTGGTTAGAGTGCAGTACTGTAAGCTACTTCTGCAGCCAGCTGGCTACAATTCAGCAGTTCGGCAAATCCCACCAGGCTCAAGGTTGACTCAGCCTTCCATCCTTCCAAAGTGGGTAAAATGAGGACCCAAATTGTTGGGGGCAATATGCTGACTCTGTAAACTGCTTAGAGAGGGCTGTAAAGCACTATAAAGCAGTATATAAGTCTAACCACTGTGCCATAGAAGCTCTTTATGCACCAAATTTGCACTATAAAGTGGTATATAAGTCTAAGTGCTATTGCTATATTAATTGAATGTATAGGCTTGTTGTTCACTCATTTATTCTTCCTCGTAGGTATATTTTCAGCTGACTTGGGAACTCCAAATACTACATCATTCTCTATTTAGCATGTTTTCTAAAGCCTATCCTTGATAAAACAGTATTCCTGCGCTAGTAAAGCTGTCATTTTGGGGGCAATTATTGATCTATTGACCTGCTTAATATGATTAGTTAGCTTTTGGCTAAATATTTATTGAAGGACAGGACTGAACAGGAGAACCATTTGGCAGGGGATGTTGGATTTAGGAAGGCTGACATTACCACAGATCTGTTCTTGGTGCCATAATATCTGATTAATTAATCGCTTATTAATATCTGATATTTAATCTCTATTTATGGTAACTACACTTTTTCATGAACCCATCAAAAGAAAACTAAGCACAATGACCTCTTAGTCCCACTGTTATTTAATCATTATTTAAACAATTAGGTAAACTATTTAAGCAATCTGAACTTTCCCTCTCCTAAAGGAAGGAAAGATGAAGGATAAATTTGTTAACATCTTATTATACACAGATAATGCAGCTCTCCTGCATCCTGTAAGTCTCAGAAGTGCCTTCAGGGCCCTCATGCAGTTATTACAAAGAAGGAAGTTGGAAATTAATTGTCAAAACCCAAAAAATTATGACATTCTTTAGGAGACTTAAATTTCATGCTGGTAAATATATGGGCATAATTGAACAGGTGACATGTTTTAAGTAACTGAGAGTAATGTTTCATTCATCTGTCAGCAGGTCAATGTATATTATATGTTCTGTTCATAATGCCCACATTCCCTGTTCTCGTATTTTTTTTATGAACCAAAGATGGTAATTACATTCCTGCTGCCATAAGATTTTTCATGTAAAAACATTCCTATGCATGCACCAAGGACATGCTTATTATTTGTTTGGTTATTATTTGTTTGGTTTTGTGCTGGTTTTGCTGGTGTGTGTATATGCTGCTTTAATATAGAAGGACTTCAAAGAGTTTTTATTTCCCTCTTTCAGTGAGAAGATTGAAAAGAAAATGAAAAGCAGCTCAACACGATAACCATTAGCAATTACGACAGCCTATAAATTAGATCCTATTCTTGATTTTAATCTAGTAGAACAGGTTCAAGGCCACATTTTAAAGAGGAGATTCTAGGTTCCATGCAATATTAGAAACGTTTTCTTGTATTTTGAGATTTTTATGGTAAATGTAGAACCGAAACCAGGGATAGTTTTATTTAAATATTGGTGACAATTGTCCTACCTCCAGGTGGGCTTACCCCTTCTAACTTTAGAAGTGGTTTCCAATTAGTATGAAAGAGAGAGCTGATTGTGATGAAACTGCTACATTTAGGGCTAATGTCCTAATGACAATAACACAAACACACATGTATACATGGAGAGGGGATTTGCACAAAAGACTTGAAACACACAGGATTCCTTCTTGATGACCAGCCTTTGGCTCATGAACCTTCAGATAGTGCTGGACAGAATAATTGTCCTGCATTGTTTCCCCATCGATTTTCATTCAATGAGATTGCTGTATACATTTCTCTCAAAAAAAGAGACTTTGATAAAAATTCAGATGAGAGGAGTGTGATATTCTTGTGTTCTTTTACGAATGTCCAGGTAAGTCCTGGACTACATAAAGTCCTTTTATCTTTCCTTAGATATGGGATAGGACAACTCGCCATGGCCAACTTTCTGCAGCCAACTGACTGCTGCCAATTGCCGCCGGACAATTCAACCATTTTATTTAATTATTTTAAATAATTAAAATTATTTTAGTTTCTGTCACTCATATTTCATTTTATCCCTGCTTTTGCATCCTTTTCTTAATGATTTTATTCCACCATTTCTTTGATAATATTAACTTTTGTCCCACGACAAGTTGTCCCGTAGCGAGTTGGCTGTGGCAAATTGACCATAGTGAGTTATCCTAGACCCCCTTGGATAACCCATTCACCAACTCAATTCAATCTCAAGGAAAATTATTTCAAGGAAATATCTCCCACTGAGCTATTTCAGTGAGTGGAGTGAGGGAAACATCTCCTACAACAACAACAACCCCCCAAAAATGTTACTAGGGAGAGCATCCTTTACCATCTCCAACAAGGAAGGCATCTCACAAATAAAGGCAAATGGGGGTTAAGGGATCAGACTCTTAATCACTCTGAGAAAGAAGGCAGAAAAACAGACGCCTCTCTTGCAAGGTAGGAAAACTTTTAAGAAATTGCAAGGCCATTTTCAACACCGTTTTATTTTTAACAATCCATGAAGATGAGAAATTCCCCTTTCTTCAAAGTCCACATGCTTTAGTTAGAGTTAGAACATTATCCCATCAGCAAAAGCTGAAAGCCAAGAACATCTTTTTGGGTTGGTTTCCCCCCTTCCCCCTTTTGCCTCTATGTGATTTTATATATCCATATTAAAAACCTGATTCACATCAGCTATTTATATAAAAGCCTTTTTAAAAAATCCAGGCAAACCGCATTCTTTCCCAGATGCACTGAATTCTTACATTCTCACCCTGATTAAGAGAGGAAGGCTAAAAAGGAGAAAATAAAGGGTGCAAATGAGGTGGCTAATGAAATGTGATTATCATGGAGGTGATCCCAGGGCACAGTAATGGAACGTGAAAACTATTTTACTGTCAGCAGCATAGAAAGTCACACTTTACCTGGGTAATCCTCAGAGACGTGCACCGAATAGGATATGCTGTTAAAAAGAAGAAAAGGATAAAGAATAATATAAGAGAAGCAGAAAAATAATTGTGCTGCCCACATTTATTTACAAATTTTGGACAATCCAACAAAGCAGTTACTTTACCAGATTTCTAAGGGCCTAGTGCAAAAAAATAAAAAAAAATAACCCAACATAACAGGAAAGCTCTTCCAGATTTTCCCTCCATCTCAAAGAAGTATCTCTGCAATATAAAATTGAATTTTGGGAGGAGAGAAACAGAAAAATGAGAATCAACACTCAAAACGTCCAATTTTTGCAATATTGCTTCCCATTATCTGTCTCCATTTCTATTCCAAAACAAAAACAAAAACCAGAATACATTTGCAATGTACAAATCACTTACAAATTATCTCTTAAGACTATTGAAGAAGTCCTTTAGGGTTACATCCCTGCAATTTAGAAGATTGGGTTTGCCTATTGCAGACTATAGAAGAAAGACTGCAATCTATTTTATGCAAGAATGATTTGTTCTATTGCTGATAATATCAAGTTGCTTAGTACCTTCAGGGTATTATTATTACTATTTTGACCAAATGGAGAAGCTATTTTGAAATGTGCATGGGATCATTTTTTTTAAAAAAAGTTTCACACCAGTTCTTTATGTAAAAGAGTTCATCCATGATCTTAAGTCTTCTCTAATCATTTCAGGAATAGCCATGAAACAGAGAACTTCTTCAACTTTGGAACAGTTACAACAATCTTGGAAAGGGTGCTTTACCATTCATCCAGATGCCATGCCCCCACAGGTCACACGATTGAATTTCAAACGCATGGCAACTGGCTCATGTTTATGACTGGCTGCAGTGACCTGCAATCTTGTGACCATGATTTGTGATGTTTTTTGCTAGTTTGGAGTGTTTTTTTGCCAGTTTTCACCCACCACCACCACACCACCCCAAAAAATCCATTCAAAATAGATTGGTATGTACAAGCACATGATTCATTTAAAGGCCACCATAAAAATTGTAACAAAATCTGGTGCAGTCACATCAGTACCTATGACTACCATGACTTCCAATCAAAGTTTCAGGCTCAGTTATGGTAGTAAGTCAAGGATTACTTGTATTTGCAAAAAAGTATAAACTATATACTTATGTCCCAAAAGTGCTTTTTCAGGAGGCAACTGGACTTTTTTTGTTTTTTCCTTTTGAAGACGTTTCACTTCTCCTCTGAAGTGAAGGGCCAATTCTAATTTTTTTTCTAGCTTCTTTTTGTATTTAGTGGGGCTAAGGTGGGAATGCAAGTGGGAGGCCCCTAGGATGTAACCACTATCCACTGATAACCATAATCCTTCTCCCCTGCATTCAAACAATATCGACAAACCAAGTGAGAGAGGATGGGACTCTTGGCAGGTTATATGGGTGGGAATGGAGGTTATTTATTTCCCAGAACATTTGGTTCCATTGCCACTTATATTTTTTTTTTAAATGTGGTTTTGAAAACTGACCATTTGGTAGCCAAGTTTTGTCAAAAATGATCACAGAGTTCACAGACTACACAATCTTGATCTAAATCAATATGTTCGGAGCACCCTTATTAAAAAGTTGGGAAAGGCCATTGAGGTCATTATACTCAGTGCAGCAATCCCATTTAAAGACTTCACAGCCAAGTTTTATTCATTTTTTGTTTGAAGATAGTTAGTGAAAAGGAGCCCATCAATTTGCTACATAATTAGTATGCTATTGAAGTATTAGGCCATTTTTCCATCGACTTAACTAGAATTTGCTTTCCTGGTCCTTAAAATTTCTTTTTCTGCACTCTAGGATGGTAGAAACAGCCTGGCTCTCTTTAATGTGAAACATCTCTAGGCTGGTGAAGACTGAGACAGTATCTCAATTCATTCTTTTCACAAGAGTAAACAGACATTCTAGTTCTCCCAGGGGACGACAGAGAATGAGGTGGCTGGATGGAGTTACTGAAGCAGTAGGTGTGAGCTTAAACGGCAGAGGATGGTAGTGGACAGGAAGGCCTGGAGGAACGTTCTCCACGGGGTCGTGTTGGGTCGTACATGACTTCGCAACTAACAACAACAAGTTCTCCCAATCTCCACTCATAGGCTTTAGTTTCAAGAATGTAATGGTGAAAAAGAACTGCATTGCAAACGGGTCTTTATGTAAGAATGTTTATTCCCCTCGTTGACACTCCAGAATAATTCATTAATAACAGTAATGAAAATAAATATTCCTAATCTATTAAAATGCATTTGCTCAGTGAGATTTTCAAAGATACAGATGACATTAAATCCAAGAATTGCTAAAATTTGCTAAAATTTGTAGTAGCTTTTCTAAATAACACAAATTATATGGACTGTAAAATTGATGATACCCACTCTTTGGCCTAAAACTGCTGACTCTTTCTGCATGGGTTATTATACAGCTGCTGGGTGCCACCGTTTCCTATTTTTGCTGTTGTTCAGACTTGTAATTGCTTAGTTGGAACACTGTGCTTACAGTGTGTGTTTATTTAGAAATCCCACAGAATTCTATACATTAAATATCAAGATAATGCATTGAATTCCCCTTCTCATCAAAGAAAACTTTGCTATTTCAGTACCTGTTCTGCTTATTACACTCTGGATGGGTATAAAGCAGACAGAGCAACTCCACAAAGCATCCATACAAAGTCTTTTTTATTGGTTCATCAGGCATCCTGATCAACTCACATTTATGATGAGGTTCTTCTTAATGTCCAATCCTTTGCATATCTGTATTATGGTGTAGAAAGATAATAAAGTCTCATCCCCATGATGATTGAAGCAGCTGCATGGTAAAGGATTCAGGCAAGAGTGAGGGAGCCTCCCCCAACCCAACAAGGGTCAATTTAGTGACCAATCAGGATTACAGATGTGGCCACATGACATGAACTACATTTCCCAGGATACCTTAACTACATTTACCATGATGCATTCCCTTAAGGGGACAGGTCTCAAATCCTAACTAACTATCCCAAATCCCATTAACTCTAAACTGTCTGGACAGCACAGTACCTTAATCTCACCTATGCTTACAAAAATGAAAGTTACTTGCATTGATCACTTTATAGGGGATGGGTTCTTCTTTTATTAATAATATTCTGACTGAATAATGAAATACAGAAGCCCCAAAACAGAACATAAGCATCTTTCGGGCTGGGTTTCCCAGTGAAAGTCATATTGCTTCCAATATTAAAAGCCATCGGTACCAGAAAGCACTAATAGCTATATTTTCCATCAATCGGTCCAACCAATTCATTCAGATATAAAATTGGAAAACTACTCCCTTTTGTAGAAAAAAAATCATTGCTTATTCTGCCCTAGGTAAATAATGCTTGAAACAATTTTCAAAATATATTTGGGCACACTTGGACATCAGCTAAACAGATCAGCTATGTTGTTCAATGCAAAGAGCCAGACTAGATTATCAGGCTTTAAATGGGACAATTCTACAGGTGGTCCTCAACTTACAACCACAATTGAGCCCAAAATTTCTGTTGCTTGGTGAGACATTTGTTAAGTGAATTTTTTCCCATTTTACGATGTTTCTTCCCACAGTTGTTAAATGAATCACTGAAGTTGTTAAGTTAGTGACATTGTTATTAAGTGACCCTGGATTCACTTAACTTTGTCAGAAAGTTACAAAAGGTCATCACATGACCCTGGGATCCACCATAAATATGAGTCAGTTACTAAGCCTCTGAATTTTGATCACATGACCATGGGGATGCTGCAACAGTCATGAAAAATGATCATGTCACTTTTTTCAGTTCTGTTGCAACTTTGGTCACTAAATGAACCGTTGCAAGTTGAGGACTAACCTGTATTTCTTTTCCTGATAAAAAAAGTCAGTATCAATCTCAGTAAACAAATACTGTATGAAAATTTTCCTAATCAGAAAAAAACCCCTTTGCAATTAATGTTACTGAACAGGTCTCACAAATTTGACATCATAGCTCTAGTACAAGGAGTTGAGTAAGTCCTTATTTTCAGATGGCACAGAGTGCAAAATATAGAATATTATGCAATTCAAAAGAAATACTTTGGCTTGACTGATTTAATGGTGAACTGAAAGAAGACGGTATAAAATATATGAACAATCAGTCATGCACTGAAGATTTCACGTCTTCATCTTTCTTACAGATTTTTGAGCGACGCTTGGGTGCTGAGTCAAAGGCAATAAATATTTGCATTTTTCACTAAGAATAATTCTCACAGCTAGCTCATCCATGTGACTTAACCACAAATGAACCAACAGCAAATATCATTTGTAAATTGATGCTTGAATTAGCTTGCTATGCAAACAAAGTGGTGTCAAGACTTTGCAATACTGTTACCTATGTTTTGCAAAGTTTCCATTTCAAAACTATCTCATTTGCAGATTTTCTTTTACCACCCTATATATTATTTAGTTTTTTTAGTTTTAGTTTACTTTATTGTCATTGCACCTCATACAACAAAATCAAACACCATCTTTGCACATCATGACCATGACCATGAAAATAAACACAAGCACACATCCTTCACCCTTCACACATTGAACCGGAAACCCCCGACACCACACCAACACTGCACTATACAGCAGAATTCAAAAGAGCTACTGCCCTGGGATAGAAGCTGTTTTTCAGCCTATTTGTCCTTGTTTTTAATTATTCTGTACCGTCTGCCAAATGGTAATAGTTCAAAAAACGGGTTCCCAGGAGGAGATGGATCTTTGAGGATGTTTTGAACTTTCTTAAGACAGCGGGAGCTATAAAGCTCTTCCAAAGAGGGGAGAGGGCAACCAATGATCCTCTGGACAATGATGTTAACCCTCTGGAGTGCTATCCTATCTGCCACTGTGCAATTGGCAAAACATACAGAGGTGCAGTATGTTAAGATACTGTCTATGGTGCAGCAGTAGAAGGTCACCAGCAGTTTTTCATTCAGTTGTTGTTTTCTGAGAAGTCTCAGGTAGTATAAACTATGCTGCGCCCTTTTGACCAGTGCTGCAATGTGAGCA